CTGCTATCTATTCCTGCACTCATACCCACACACACACCCATACATACGTATTTGAAGAAGGCAAAAAGAAATGATTTATTTGTGGCATTTCTGGGACTTTCACAGACTTCTTCTTCGACTGCTCCTGCTGCTGCTCCTAATACATTTTTCTCTTTTCGGCATATTTGGCGCTCCATGCATGACAAATTGTTAGGAAAACGCAGCAGCAGCATACACCACCCCACCACCCCACCACCCACCATCCCACTCCCACTCTCCCACCCCCCACGTGTGGCCTGCTCTTCAGCCTGCTGCTTATCATCGAAATGTACTCAAGAAAATTCCACAAATAACGCGATGCCAGCTCCACTTGCACCAACTGCGTGGGCTTGCTTCCGCTTACTCGAGGGGTGGTGCACAGTGGTGTGGGGCTGGGGTTAAGCAGAAGGTAATCGGTGGGGAGGGGGAGTATGGGACCTTGCATGCATGAACAGTTCATTGAGTTGACATTGAGTGCTTGTGATTTATGTTGAATTTTTTCCCACTTCCACTGTCAAGAGCAGCCAAGGATCAAGGGAGCGAGCGGACGAGGATTGGCCTCGGAGTGTGGCACTCAGGGCTTAGCAGTGGGTCGGAGGTGCAACATTGTGTGGCAGTTGGGGGAGTGGGTTAGCGGACTGTTGTGTGGTTTGGCGATGCACGAAGGAAGTGTGATAGAGGAAGCCTTCATTGTCTTCAGAATAGAATTAGATAGACACTGCCAGAGGTAGATCGCGCCTGAGCTACAGCTCCGAACCACCCTCTGTCTCCTCCTGCTCTCCTGCCACACCACTCCATACTCCAGTCCGTTTTAGCCATCTATTTTGCAAGCCAAATTGCGTTTGCGTCATCATCAGTCGTCAGTCAAGACCAAGACCCTGGCGCTCCCGCTGCCGCTGCCTCACCGACCATCTCTCCGTTCAAAAACCATCTACGTTCCAATGCTCGTCTGACTGACGACTGAGTTGCCATATATTCAAACTAAATGTGTCACGTCCAAACAACAAAAATTTCATTTATATTCGCATATACCAACAAAAAAAAAACAATCGCACACAAAAATTCAAACAGAAAAAAGGAAGGAATTCGAGCGACTGTGGTCGAACCTTAAAATACCCTTGCAGATACATCGCTTTTAAATATATAAAGCAGTTTGAAGACCTAGATATGAATACAAAAATTTAGCTTTCATCTTCCGTTTTTGTCAGTCAGGATTTTGAAACCTGAAGACTTCCACTGAATGAACTGCATCCACTGTAGTCATCTATTGATACACAATACCCTTCTCTGTGAGGGCATTTTAAAGAAAAAACTCGTAGTGGAAGAGGAAGCTGTCCAGAAGATGAAGAAAAAAATGGCAAGAAGCAAAAGAAAATGGTAGGAAAAAAAGGAGGCAGAAGTAGAAGCGGGAAACGTTATAAACTTTAAGCGAATGGAATGGGCCTGAGGTCGGGCTTGGTGGGGGATTGAGCTTCTGGGTGGTGTGAGAAATCCGCTTTGGTTTATTTGAAATGTGAAGCAATTTGGGGCAAATGCATGTGACGATGGCAGCACACCCCCCAGCCTCACCTCCACCTATTGGCGGGGCAGTGTGCGAAATGGTTACAAATTATGTGCAGCATAAGTTGAGGCGCTGCCGCCGCTGCTACCCATTTCCTCAGTCTCCTTTTTTTTTGCACTCCCCTTTACTCCTTCGCTGTGTGGGGCGTTTTAAGCAGTCACTTCCTGCCACGCCCCATCGCCAGCAGCGGCGGCAACAAATCAACGGAAACGGAAGTGGCAATGGAAATGGAAATGCGACAGCGACAGCGAATGAAGCGAAGCCGCAAAAGGTGTGAAAAATGCAAGACAGAGAGGAAAGCAGATGAAAAATCACAAAAATTTTAGCGTTAGTCACAAACAGAATTTTGCAGAGGAAGAGGCAGAGGAAGAGGCGGAGGCGGAGGATAAGGTGTTGCGACTATGTGGAGTCCTTGCGGTTGTCCATCAGTCGAGATCGGAAGCAATGAAAGTGGAGGTATGTAACATTCGGGAATCGGAATTGGAAGCAGATAAATAGAGTGTTATATGTGCTGCAGGAAACCATAAGAAAAGGCTTGGAATGAATGCAACACTCTCCATTTGTACCCACTGCACATTCAACTTTCAGCCTTTCAACCCCTCTTCCCTCTCCTTTTGACTTTTCGCGCTTCCTCCTACAAATCTCTGCACTGGAAGTTTCTTTTTTGATTTATGTTAATTTAAATGCGCTCCATATATATTTTTTCGCTTTTGTCACCATTTTGTAGTCGACGCCCTTATTCCAAAGCTCGCGTTGCTACTGGCACCCAGGAGCGCGGAGACACACGCAATTTCTTCCACACAATGAGATTTCATTTAAAAGAGCAAACTTATTGTATTCTTAAGCAGATTTCTTCGTAAATTGCAAATGCAAATTGATATATATATATAATAATATATAATAAATATATATATAATAATAATCCGATATCGTCCGATATAATACTCGTAATAGTCCAAACTCTTTTTGAATATCGGGTATATGTTAATTAGAGAAATGGCCAGGAAGGAACATGGATCGGATAGTTCCTGGTCTTGAAAGGAAAGCATAGCTACAGATCCACCGGACATGGAACCCCTCTGGAAGCTAGATCTAGGCGAAAATTATGATTTCCGTTAAGTAAATTCGAGAACATTCCCCAACAATCATCTCCTGGTGACGTTTGATGCCCACATCAACGACTAATCGTAGTTAATCTTTATGAGCTAAGATCAAGACAGCGAGGCAGCCTTTCTGGCTAAAAGTCAATCTGTCCAAACTTTCGAATGGTAAACCCTATGTACACATGGTGTAGGTCCGATGCACATGTGTTTGGGGAACGGAACACTTACCGGCATCCCGGAGGGCAGTGCACAGTCCATAGCCCTAAGCCAATAAGCCAGCCACTTTGCCAGAGAGTTATCCAAGGCGCCCAGCGGGAGGACGACGGTTGAGAGAATTGTGCCCTGGTTTGGGTTTCGGAAATCAGATATGTGTCTGCTGCTGTTCTTCGGGTGTTGGCATTTCTTTCACGAAAGCACAGTCCGTCAAAACTAATGTCGAGCGGCTCTGAGACCTCCCCTCTACGCAAATACGGTAGTGGGATGGTGGAGGAGGAGATTCTCCGCAGCCCCGAGGGGCCAAGCGACTGTCTCACTGTTTCCTATTCGGGGTAGACCGCAATAGGTCTCCCAACTCGACCTTTAAGTGTGTCATTTTATGGGCAACCCTCGGGTGTGCCCCAACCCTTACCCCCCCCGCTACCGACGCCGTACAACCCTTTGGTACCCACACACTTTCTCGGTTATGCAAAAATGTAAAATTTTTATTGTTCGTGTTTTTCTTTTATTGCCAGCGGGCGGGCGTTCGCCGGCGCATCTTCATCCGTTGATCTGTCGCACCCCACACCGCACTTTTCTTTCTTTCCGACTTTTTCTCTCCCTTTCGTTTTCTCTACGGCTATCTCTTTCTCTGTCCGTCTCCCTCCACGTTTTTGAGTCTGACTTTTCGACTTTTCCCACATGTCGTATCAGCGGCTTTTCTCGCGTGGTTTTTACCCAATGCCTCGTCCCCGTCCGGTCCATCTCATCCACTGTCCTGCCCCGTCCTGACCCCCCCACCGCCCCGTTTTCCGTACATCCCCACTTCGAGGACCTTCCTCGCTTCGGTTTTCCCCCTTTTTTTAAACTTCGTTTTCGGGCGATTTTAGCAGTGCGCGATTTTCAACGCATTGCCCGCAGGGGATGTCTCCCGCCCCTCGACTCCTCCACATGGGTTCCATATTATTTCGCATTTAAAAATAGATTTGCATTTGTATAAGTGTGCATATATGTATGTATATGTGAATTTGTGTGTATGCATGTGTGTGTGTTTGGCGTGCCCAATTGATTTATGGTTTTTTTAAATAAGCAAAAAAAGTCTTCCCGAAAAGGTTGCGCCACGGGGGCAGTGGAAAGGTGCTGCAACAGATACTAGAAGAGCAACAGAGATGGATAGAAAGTGATAGAGAGGGTGGCAAGAGGGTGGCCGTGCTAAGAGTGTGGGGTGTGGGGTGTGGGGTGCGGGTGGAAAGGGGTAAGCTCTTCGCTTGTTGTTGTTTACTCTTTTGCGGTTATTTTGTGGCTTTTCTTTTTGGCGCGTTTTTTACCCTCCCCATCGAATCGCGTCCGTGTCTAGGACCGTGTCCGCGTCCGCGACCGCATACACATCCGTACGCCTGTCCATGGCGGCTTATTGACTTTTTAACTGATCCTTCGGGTGTAATTGTAGTTATTGTTGGCATTTTTCCCTCACACGAACATGCCCAAGGATGCGTGGGTCGTCTGTGCAGAGAGCCCAGATCTGGCACTGTAAAAGATATAATGATTCCAAAAGATTTCTAGCTTTGTAGAATGTCAAGATATCTTGATTTGGTAAGATTGTCGGACAGAGTGAACATATGGTTGATTCTTTTGACTGCTGAAAAATGTAATACTAAACTCAATCGACCCATTGACTGAGCTCTAAGTAAGAGAAAGAGATCCAAGCATCTTAATATTTATCAGCTCTAAAGTCCTATAGCTCAAATTAGGTCAACCAATGTCAGTCCCTTTAAAACGAAGCATCTTTCAGTAAATTAATTATCTACTACAAACCATCTGAAACATTTCAGAAGGACTACAGCAATACACTCTTGGACTCTGCATGAAAATGTGAGCGACTTGGATCGTACATGTATGTCGTTTCCATGTTTTCCAAAAACTAATATGAATCCCAATATTAGATTTCGATATCAATCAATTCAGTACGAGCACAAAGGTATCCTGTTTGAAAAGAGAAATTGAAAAGATAGTTGGCTTTTGTCGAAAATTTGTAATGCCCGTCAATTTGAGTCTCCAAATCTTTTAAACATTTTATTAGTTTCGGAAATTACAAATTAAAAAGCAACACAAATCTTTCACAGATTTTTCAAAAATGTTGCCTGGGTGGAAAAGATTTTATGTCGTGGTCCTGAGCATGACCAACCTGTTGTTCCTGATACTCACCCAGCCCGTAGCGGACAAATTTAAGCGCCATCCCGAGAAAGTCGATGAAAATGACTCGTACGTCATAATGGTGGTCCAAACAATCCAAGTGTTTTTGTATATAGCAGCACAAATACTGCTAGCTCGGCACATCGTTGTGAGTAGTCAAATTTTGTCCTTAATCAATGGGAAACATCATTCAACCTGATGTGTGCGTCTGCCTGCAGGAATTCTTGATTTTGACTCTTTTTTTGCTCTGGAACTGTACCATCCAGATTATTCTGAGCTGTGGATATCTGATATTTACCATACTCTATGGCCACGCCGACCCACTAGTCATGAGCCTGGCTATCGTAGATATAAGTACGTATACAGCGATCCTCGATGTCCACCTAACCTATGTGACTTCTTTAGCCGTTTCAGTGGTCGGCTTAGTGTTCTGGAACGTGGCCGAAGAGTACTTACAGATGGGTATTCAAGAAGACTTAATAGATCAATAAATTAAATTAAATATTTCATGTAAAACGCGAGGACTCTATAGATACTTACTATGCTTCTTCGTCAATTCAAATATTGTAACAGTCATGCATGTCTTCTGACACTTTCGAAATCAATGACCCAATCGTCCAATAAAAGTTTGATACATCAAAAAACATGTAAATTGAAATATCTTTTCCTTTTGAATTCAAGCCTCTTTCCTGGCCCACTCTCCTTCTTCAAGAGCCCCCCCAAGAGAAAGAGCCCAGAACCCAAGGATATTGTCACCAAGAAAGGAAAGGCAGCCAATGAGAGGATGAGCAACAGAATGAAGAGAAAACAAACAACAATACACAAATAAATTGATGTCATTTTCGTTTTCGTTACGTCTGAAATGGAATTAGTGGCACGCTAAAAAAAGACTAGCAACGGGAAGGCGCACAGAAGGGGAACCATTCTGGGGAGTCGCAGTCGCAAACGAGAGACTGAAGAAGGACAAATCCAAACGAGACCCCTGCCAAAGCTCCATTTTATCAAGAGCAGCAGAAAGAAAGAATAAAAAATACCAACGGAGGAGGCAAGGAAAAGCGCAGAGGCAGTGGAAAACAGACGGCAGGAGATGGCAATGAAAACGCAGATAAACATATTCGCGAATTTGTTATTATCAGAAAAATATTGCGCAAATAAAGCCAGGGACAGGGGGTGGATGGGGATTGTGATTGCTACAGCGGCTTAAACGAAACGAACGTATGCAAAATATTTGTGAGCCCCGTGAGGTGGTTGGGTTTGGGGGGGGGTGGGGCGGGTATATGGGGCGTTAATTCCCCAGTGACTGCATGTGACGCGCTTTGCATGCGGTTTGAGCGCGTTATATGTTTGAGAGGGGGGTGTATGTGTCACTGAAGGAGGAGGGTCGTTCGGGTGGGGATGATGTGAGAAGGTGGCAGAGCATTGTGATGGCTAGGGGTTGGGCAGGGTGTCGCAAATTAGTTAAAAAGCCAAACCCAGACAATCAAAGATCAAAACTTTTTGATAGGCAAATGCCTCTCAATGGGTATACGCGTATCTTTGTGTGTGTGTGTGTGTGTGTGCGAGGGAGTATCATGTGTGCCATGTGTGTGGGTTGATACTTTTATTACGGTTGTTGTTTCCTCTTAAGACCCGTTACTGTCAGAAGTCAAATGGCAGGCGACTTGTATGGTTTGAGTTTGATTCCAAACGGAATTGATCGCTTTATCTGTCGTTCTGTATCTGTATTTGTTAGAAGGCATAAAATGGGGGTAAATGCTATGCTAAAAGTCCTTAATGGGATGCTGAGGCTGTCTGAAGGAAGGGGAGGGAAAGGAATGAGAAGTTCAGATTTCTTTTCAAGCCATGAAGTATAATAGATTGTAGCTTGGATGAAAGAAAAAATTAACCCAAAATTGAAGGGAAATATATTAATGGAAACTTAAACTTAATACAATGAACCATCGAAAACCCTGGCAAATCTATATGATTGAGGAATTTATATAAAACAATTCGTACGAAAACCGACAAATAAACGTATGAATAATGCGAAAAATAAACTGCAGAATATGCAGCATCTTAATAGATTTTCAAGCTCTATTTCGGAGCACGGTGGAGGACGCAGTAGGACTCATGGGAAAATTGCTCAAGGGATAGTTTGGCACAAAGTATAAACCACAAGGATCCAGAAAACATAAGTAGCAGCCTTCATATCACCTACGAGCCAACAACCGAATACGAGTCCTCCACAGAGCAGCACTTTCAATTAGGGAAAATTCTTAATTGCCGAACGATCCATTTCACAGCCACACCTCCCCCCCCACCATCCCCTGTCAAAGCAGACACGTCACTCTCCCTCCCCATCTGTACCGCCGCATGGGCAGAGGCGCGTGTTGTTTGTCAAAAATATTTAACGCGTAAGTGGAAAATTGTAAAAACAACGAAAATGAGCAACAAAATTTCGATGGGGCAAAGAAAGAAAAAACGCTCGAAAAAAATGTAAAAATTATCAAAAGAAAATGAAAATTTGTATACAAACCACCCAGGAACATTGATAACGCCTGTATAAACCACCCACCCATCGACCAACCACCCGGTGAAGTGAAACACCGACACCCCCTCCCTCTTCCCACTCCCCTACCGCTTAATGGTAGAGCCTTCACCTTTACCAGCGAAACGTGCAAATGGACTTTTGGGTGCGTTGACTGACTGACTTACCCACCCCCTCCCCCCGTCAATGCTCCACAGACAACATGCCTCATGCCTCACCCCGAGTGCCGTCCCTCCGCAGGCTCATCGTCATCACTCAAATGCAAAATGGCGATTATTCATAAATCATTAAACACCATTTGGCAGGCGCTGCACAGGGGGTTGGGGGTGTCCTAAGCTACAGGGGGCGAGCTTGGAGGGGGAAGGACCACTGCTGCCTTAAACATTTTTATCGCTTTTCCAACAAACTGGCAAAGAAAAATTCCTAATGAGCCAAAAGCAAAAGCCAAAAAAATGGTCAAAAAAAAGTTAAAAAACTTCGGAAAAAATCAAAGGCCGTTTCCTGTCGGGTGGTTTGGATGGTTGGGGGAGTGCCATGAAGATGGGTAGTTATAAGGGGGGTGAGCGATGCGCGGGGGTTGGTTCGGGAGAATTTCGCGGGCTTTTTAACAGGGCGCCCAGGCATAAGACACCAAAACGGGGTCCGTGGAACGGGGGAGACCGTGGACCGAGGCCCAGTCAAGACATTAAAAATTTTGTTTGATACTTTGGTCGTTGCTTCACTCTCCCACCCACCCACTCACACTCCTCTCCACCCCGCCGTACTCCTTCTTCTGCTGCACCGCGTATGCCACCACTTACATCACTTCAAGTTCTCTGTTTTCCCCGACTACCGCACGGCCGCTGTTCTGGTCGTTTGATTTCCGCTTCCGTTTGCCGTTGAGATTAAAAAACATTTTCGTGCGTTTTTTCCCTCATTTCCCTGATGTTTTTTAGCCACGACGCCGGCCAGCGTGGCTCTTGCCTCCTTTTGCCTTGTCTCGTTTACGTATCGTTGGACTACGACCACGGATACGGATACGACCGCGGATACGGCTATGGCTTGGCTACGGTTGCGTCTCTATCTGTGAGATACATTAAATTAAAAATTCATCTTTAATCAAAAATTATTGCTGGCATGCACAAGACAAAGTAGTGACAGCGACGGCGACGGCGTCTAGGTGGGCTCGCAGCTCATCTACAGGGATAGAAAGTGTGTAGGATTGGGATTGGGCCCTGGGCTTGGACTCTGGGTTCGGGATTGGCGTTGGGTTTGGGTAAGCACTGGGCAAACATAGTTGACAATATATCAAATTTGTTGGCATCTCCGCGGAGGAAGGTGGAGTCGCCGGCCGGGAGACGCCATATTGTAATTGCTCTCGCTGCTTTGGTTTGGTATTTGGGTTTTCCTGGGAATGGGAATAGGTATGGGAATAGGCGACCACTGTCTGGCCAAGCGATATCGACTATCGAGAAGATCTAGCAAACAATCGATTTGTGATTCCTGACTTATTGCACAATTCGGTAAATTCGTAGGCAGACTAGGTGCTCTCCAGATTGGTCATCAGCATGTAGCTCATAAATTGTGGCAGAAAGAATTCCACATGCAAACTAATCGTCTCCAGGGGATGGAAATGACAATTGGTGTGGAAGCCATCCTTCATGAACCAAGCTGAAACAAAAGCCTGATATTGGTACGAGTAACAGAGGTATTAGCTGTCAAAGCACGGGTTTGTTCTCTATAAAACAAAGAAATTATAAATGTAAAATACTTTTCGCTATGGACCAAAAGGGCCCTGATCCAGCATATGTCCGATGTGAGTTCCCTGATCCCCATCATACATATGTGAAACTAATCAGACTTCTTGCTTTGCAGCCACTAAATCCAGTAGTCTGAGAACTTAAGCAAACACTTTTAAAGTGAGTTTTTCCTATAGAAGAGGAGAGGATCCTGGCAAACTAAAAAAAAAGTATATAGAACTCGCCTGTAAGGTCACTCAGTTCACCCGGCAGGTCAACTGAAAGAGAGGACGCGACTTGTGGCTCTGGGCAAGTACATAGGCAGCATGAGAAGAATATCCAAATAGATCAGGAGATTTCCCAACTAAGGGACACCATGTTCGTACCGGATTAGTTGACCACTGTTTTCGACCCCTTTTCATTTTCTCTCCAGTGTGTAAATAAATAAGTTGCAACCTTGCTAAGTGATAAGCATTTTTCGAGCAGGGTCCTCAGTAATTACTTCTCGCTCGATGCGTTTAAACTACTTCCAAACTATAATCAGGAAATACACCCCCTAAAACTGAGCCGTTATATAATTTTCGCCTCTCAAGGAAGTGATCAGCAGAGAGCCGCTGAAACCTGAAGGTTTGGTTCTTTTTTCCTACAAGCAGGGCGTCATCTAATCCTGAACGTTTGGATCACTTTCGCTTCGCAGGCAATTAATCAAGCAGTGAGGTTCTGAAACCTGAAGGTTTGGTTCACTTTCGCTTCGCAGGCAAGTAATCAAGCAGTGAGGTTCTGAAACCTGAACGTTTGGTTCACTTTCGCTTCGCAGGCAAGTAATCAAGCAGTGAGGTTCTGAAACCTGAACGTTTGGTTCACTTTCGCTTCGCAGGCAAGTAATCAAGCAGTGAGGTTCTGAAACCTGAAGGTTTGGATCGTTTTATTATAAAAGATATTTGACTTTAAATATTCTTATGTGAAATACTCGTATACCCATAAAAAGATGTACACTGGAATCGTTAGTAAGTCCATCAGCCTATATTTCTAAATTGAATCCTTTTATTTATATTATAACTGTATTCACCTTAGGAGAATGTACATATGCGCATACATGTATGTACGTTTAATCGATTGACTTCTGGGGAAATTTCAAAGTTAATACCAAGATTCTGTCATAAGGATTACCTCGCAAGACTTGGTTAATTGCGAAGTCTCCGTTTCCCACTCCGTTAAGGCTTCAGTCCACAATTTCAACTTAATTAAATGCGTTTTTAATACTTTTGGCTTGCCGGCAAACAGACAGAGATGGCGAGGACGGTAAGACATAGGCATCGGCAGCCACTGCCGCACATTTACATTAATGTTCATATGTGTGTTGTTTGGCCAAGGAAAAAGAAGCCAACAAACTTTTCCCAAACGCTTTTCCCAGGCAGTGGAAAAGCGAAGAGACATGTGTGTGGGACCAAAAATAAAGTTGATTAAAATTTGAAAGATTTTTGACAGTTATTATGCGCCAGCGGCTGGGTAAACGGAGCCAAACTTCTGCCATGTGTCAATATTGAAAGTTAGACTTGGCTCTGCCTCCCGCCACCACCTCCCGTTGATACCACGAAGGTATCAAGATTTTAAAATGATGGATACACGACAGAATGTGGGGTGTTTTGCTTATCTTTCTATTCACAGGTCATTTTTTACGGAGTTTCTATGGAAAAACTCTTTTAATTTATCCCTCATGGCTTTAAATTAAATTAAATAAATTTAAAATACAAATTTGAACAAAGAAACGATCAATTTGTAAAGGCAGCTTAGACTTTTTCTCCCTTCCTTCTAGTGGATCTTCCTCTAGCTCTGATTGGACTTCAACCAGTTCCAAATTATAGCCAATGTTCGCTATAGTCCGTCCCGACTATATGGGATCGTTTGTGGGCCATAAAAACCGCACACACGGCACAGGCGGCGGAAAACTGCAGATGAAGTAGCTTCGCTCGATATAAAATTACATTTTATAGCGTTGAGTATGCTGTGTATGGTGGATGGAGACGAAGATGGGAAGTGAGATGTGAATTGTGAGTGGGAGGCTGGGAGGGGGGCTGGTTTAAGCCACAGCAAGGACACATACCGACTAATAAGGCTGGTTCAATTTAATGAGCAGACGTCGCAACTTTCCGCTACGTTGGACGCGTTAAACTAATCAACGCAGCACCACCCTGTCACCCCCCCGGACAGCTTCAACAGTTGTTTGTTTGTCTGCTCAATTGCTTGTTAACATTTTGCGCAATTTGGAAAGGTCGGCAGAGGCAGGCAGCGGCAGGGGCATTGGTAGAGGGCCCCACCACGCGGTAGTGGGGGAGTGCTGCAGCCTAAACTACCTGCAAACATGAAAAAAACCAGAAACCAATTGAGCGTGCCCTCTACTTGTATGTGTGTGTGCGCCAGTACACTGGGACAAATATTTGCTACAATCGAGATATTATTTTGGAAGAGAGTGATTTCAAAACCAAGAAGCTAAGCAAAAGGACTTCAGAAAGAATAGGGGTATTTTCATTTCGATAAACATCTTTGAGATTGAAGATTGGTCGTTTCTTGTGGTGAATATTCGCTTTTCGTTAATTAGGGAAGCGTCAAATGATGTTAAGAGGAAATCATATCTGAGCTATCAGAAATATTCAGCTATTTACGGATTTATAATCATGTATGAATAATCCCCAATATATGTAATTGCTGGAGAGCTGCAAGAATCTCAAACTCAAGAATATATTTCTCATTATTTAACATCACAATGTTGAAAATAAAAGCAAGAATCAGAGGTATAGTAATTTTCAAAGTTTCAAATCAAAAGATTCAATCATCTACAAACTGTTTTCATTCCACATTCTATATAATTACTTTTTCCGTTCAGTGTAGCCAGTGTAGCATGTTGTGTGTGTATGTGTGGCTCCTGTTGATGGCCGCTGGCCTGTAGAAAGTCATAAAATTTTATAGTTTAGTGGAGCGGGAGGTAGTGGACAGTCAGTCAGGCGGTGTCGATGACTGGGTCCGAATAGGAATTGGTTTCAGAGTGGGGGTGGCAGTGGAAGTGGTACTGGTAGCGGGAGTGGTACGGGTGGTGCTTGGGGGTTGGGGTCACTGCGGTTCGGCCGTGTGTTATGACTGTGAACTAATCGCCACAGCGTTTTCGGTTCGCCTTGGGCCAGTTAATGAAATGGCCGGTCCAAATGAATGCCGGACTGCTGCGAGGGTTGGACTAGAATTGAAACCAAGACAGAAAGACAGACGGAAACACGGAACTGGATATAAAGACGAGACGGAGACTGACCTGGCCTGGGGCCAGCAGGCAATTAAAAGGCAGAAGAGTGGCGGGGTCACTGAAATGAAGATGTCTTTAAGACATTTACCAAAAGGTCAACCAATTGTCCTGCCCAGGGAGTACCATTCAAGCATGGGAGTTCCAGAAGCATTCCATAAGAGCCTCAACAAGTCATGCTGCATGCGCTTAAATAGTATCTATTGATTTGACAGGGGATCCACAAGAATCAGTTAACTAAAGAACTGTCTAATTGTAGTTTTCAGAATTCAATCCAGAATGTCTGATGAAAGATTCCCCTAACCTGGAACGAGTTTCCATCATCAGAAAGCAGCTAAATGCACGCCTCAGGACGACAGTGAAAACGCAGAATCAGACGATGTGCCTTCTTTCAGTTAAAGATTAGTTTCTGGCAAATTGGTGCCACTCGAAAATTTCCGTCAAAGTCGCCGCCAAGATGGCTTATTTCCAGGGCTCTAGGTGACGTCCTGTAGAAGTTCCATATGTACAAAACCTAGGGCCTCGAAACAGCGGAAGATTGGAGATTATATGTAACTAATTTTTAAATTGTTTATTAATATCTTTATTCAGCCACTCCCGTGGCTCGTTGAAAGCTTGATACAAAGTGAGGCCTACTTTTTACTTCATTTGTTTTCCCAGGGATAGTCCACTGGGAAGGGCCCTCGCGTTTCCGAGTTGTTCCACATAATGCAGGTCACTGAAATGGCACAGGGACATTAGAAGGACATCAGGTGGACATAAGGGATCAGTGGCTACATACAAAAATCCATAAATACTGGGAGAATTCCCTCTGGAAAAGTGTTCCAGTTCATAACGAACACGGTGAATATCAAATTCATGTTGTCGGTAAGCAATTCGAAGAAAAATGTAAACATTAACTCCATAAACGCGACTGTTATGCTCACTTCCTGCAAGTGGATTCCCAGCTAAAGGGCATTGAGTGTTATTAAAATATTTTAGCAACTCACCAACTCAGCAAATGGAGCAAGAATTTCCTGAATAATACGCAAAACATTCATTTTGGGCGATTGTTAAAATATGACTGACTGAGACAGCGTTAGAGATGATAGTATGATTGGTGATTGCTGGCATGGCGAATGGATGTATTATCGAATACACGGCCACTAGAAAAGTATTATAAGCAACCAAATCTAATGCTCCATATCCTAAGACGCTATAATGGAGCAGAATTCCACTAGGTTTCCACTCATTCTCTACACCTGTTGTTGAACACAAAATTGCAATCAATCGATTCCACCACACAGAAACGTGTACCTCCAATCAATATGTGCCTGATTAATACGAATTTATGGCTGCACTTTGATCTGATGCCCTGCCCCATCTTTGCCAGTCAATGAACATAATTGGGCTGCACTTCAGCTCCTGCCCTTTGCAGGCCCTCTTTTTTGGCCATATTACATTACACACAATCAAATGAAATCAAATCACACAAATCAGGCCAAATCGCTGTCGCAATTTGCCGTTGGCAACGGGGACTCGGACCCGGATCCGAGACCCGCCCAAGCCATACATGTGTAGATGGAGAAGCCTGTTATTGGTATAACAACCCCATACACTCGTAAGCCACATGTCCCATATACACTGAAATCTAACAAATCTTGGGCATAAGCCATAACTCACGCTTATGATTTTTAAGGGGACATCAAAGACCCAGCCCGAACCCCTTTTTGTGGATCCCCAGAAGAACACTATAACCAATAAACATTGTAGCACAATTGCTTGTTTTTGCAGCTAATAAAATCATAAAAAATAAGTAAATAGCCGGGCATAAGTGGCCATGGATGTGGTCGTGGGCGGGGAAGGAACCAGAGACCAAGAACCAGGGTCCAGGGGAGGGTTAACAAGAAATGACAAGTAGATTTTTTATCACTGGCCTGAAAAGGCGCCTGGATAGATAGCCCCAGGATGGATGTATGGATGAATGGTTTTCTTTCCCTTCCATCAGGAGATGGGGTTGGATTTCAGATTGGGTTTGGGCTTGGGTTTGGATGAACGGCACCACAATGCATGCAAATTGTAACAAGGATAATGCCAAACTCTCAAAAGACCACCGCAAACAAGACGGCGTCGACGAGGACGAGAATGAAAACGAGAATGTGGGTGAGGGTGAGGATGAGGACGACAACAAAGTAGCACGCGCCATCCCCCAAATGTACGAGGAGGCAGGCGACGCACACGCTTTAGTGCCACTTGACAAATTGGTCAAGTGATTTTGCAGAAAAAATGGACCATGAGGGCGACGAGGAGGCTTCAACAGCTGGATACTGGATAGGCGTATAGGCCATGCGGTCTACCAGGAGGAGGGCAGCAGGTCAAGCGCTGAAAAAACCAACCTCGGGCCATAAGCAATCCCAGGTTTGGCAGAGAGTTTGTTAAAAAGGAGAGCAGAATCAAACAGATTCGATGCTTTGTTGAACGATGTGCAACACGTTTTTGCTGTTTGTGGATCAGTGGAGAAATGTTCTTTGAAAGATTTCGAGCTTTGCAGCGAAACTCTGGTCACTCTTCTGAAAAGCCCAATGCTTACCAGACTAATAATAAGGGGATATACAAGATATTGATTCCTTCGTGATATGCTTTAGAAAGTTCTGCAAAAGTGCAACCTCAATACAAGATCAGATGATCATTAAATCTCAGTTAATTAAGACTTACACGCCAATTTATGAATCTTTTGTTACCAAAAACACTGAAAATGACGGCATAGATCCCTGTAGATCGATTGGGCTTCAGCCGATGCCCAAGCGTGATTCACATTTGGCATGTGCCTCCCCAAAGACGCCGACCAATGATTTTTGCTGATTTTTGCCTGGCCCAATTCCATCAGGCAACTCTTTTGGCTGTTTTTTATTGCCGCCTCATCGTCTCCCCCTTTGAGATTCGGATGTGAATGGGGACGCGGATGAGGATGTTAAGCTCATCAAATCGAGCGATTGACAAATTGCTTGTCTACGTGTGTGTTCCTCGGCGGCAATGGCAATGCTATTTCGGGGGTAGGGTTTGTGTGCGGACTGACAACTCAATGCGTGGTCTGGGTCTGTCGCGTGTGAGGGGGTTGAAGTGGAATGGCAGTATTTGCTTTGGTTTTTGCAAAGCGTATTGTTGCCAATTCCTTGGGCAGAATATATGGCTTGTAATTGTCTGTTTGATGGACCAAACAATTTTGATTGAATTCAATTACATCGCCAACCCCTTTTTTCGTTGCTTTTGTTGCTGTTCGCGGCTTGTTCGACTGCTCCTTTTGGCTGTGGATTGTGGATTGTTGGTTTTAGTGATTTGCAATAATTCGGATGCCCGCCTGGGCTTGTTCGCATATATGTGAAATATGCCGTTGTCATGGTGTGTTTATTCAGTGCGGATGTCCTTCGGCCAGATCCAACCCACACGCACCCACTTCCAAGGAAAAGGCAGAGCCCGTATGTGCCGCCGTTTACTTCCTTTGCCCTTTTTTCTTTCGACCCTTAAGTCGAAAGGGTTTTCGGTTTCAGTTTCTGTTTCGGTTTCGGTTTCAGTGTCGCTTTCCCTTTCGGCTTCTTTGTTTGGCCTCTGCCTCTCCCCTCCCTCCCTCTGGGTATGCCTTGCTTGCTTTCTTGCTAGCCAAGTAGATTAAGTGATTTCCAAGTCATGTCCTTTTTTTCCTGGGCTTGTGGGCTTGTGGGCGGGCGCTGGGTGCTGGGGCAGGCACCCTGATGGACTGCTGCCAAGTGAAAGTCACGTCATGTGTTTGTGCTTGTGTGTGGAATCCTCTGTTTATATTACAAGGGTTATTGAGCAAATCACCAGGAGACAGGGACACAAAAGGACGGGGAGCATGGGGCGCAATAAAATCTAGTTTGTTGGCATAATTTGTTTGATTTTTATTAGATAGAAAATATGCGAGAGCACTAACTGGACTTACCAAGCCTTGGATACAAAGCACTCCCCTCCTGTCCGGCGGCGCTCTTTCCTCCATCCTTCCTCCTCTTACACCATATCCAGCTCAGTTTTTTCCCATTTTGTTTGTGCCAAGTCATATTAGTGGCTCGAAGGCTGTTTGGGCCGACACGTTTTCGTTATTAATTTTTATTACGAGTCCGAATAAATTGCATTACCTCTCAGCACACACACTCACTCACACATTTAGCAAATTGAATTTATTTTTAGGAAAAAACAAAAACCCTTTTTAGTCTTTCAGTCTTTCAGTGACCAAAACCGGAAGAGGCACCCATCCAATCCATCCCTCAAAACCACCAGGCACCACAAAAAATTCCCAAAAATTACTGGAATCAGGCAAAGCACTAACAAGGCCATTAATGAAACCTTAGGGCAGTGGCAGGGGCAGTGGTGAGGAGTTTGGGCGGTGGTGGTAGCATCGCCTGTGATGTCTTTCGAACGAAATATTGAGCCAGTCTCAGCGGACCCCTCACGAAGAAGACGCATAAATATCAGAATGCTCATAAATTTCGCCAAGTGCCATTAATTTCTTGACATTCTATATGCATATGTACCCTCAGACAGGAGCATAGTCATTGTTCGCCCGAGACCCCCACACCCACACCCATTCCCCATTCTTCAGTCGAAAACAATGATTTACTTGGGAGCAAAGTTTCGCCCGGGCATACATTTTTAATATCAAACAATTTGTAATAAATAAATGGCAATGGCATAAATGTCAGTTCCGACGAGATGCCAACAAGAGGGAGATACATTCAGCTCTCTTCTTCTTTCTTCATCCACTTTTCCAGGGTACAGTACAGTTGTGCAAAGGAGAAAAACCTTTCGTATTTAAAGTCTCAAAGATTATTTGCTACCTTTGTATTATAAATGTAAATGTATTTGTATGTATTTATCCAAAAAAAAAAAAAAACATTGTAGCAATTAGATAACTATTGCAATCGGAATGTGGAGAAATCCCTTCTATAACAGGGATATTCCTAAGAGCTAACCGTATGGTTTTACTTTTAAATTTCGAATTAGCACTCCTTCTTCTAGGCATCATCTTTCATGTTATTGGCTCAGGCTCAGGCTCACATTTTCCTTCTCCTCGCATTTTCTGAGTTTAGTTGCGTTCAGCGAGAAGCGCATAGAAAGGCGTTGCGCTGTAAGATTTAGCCATATTGTTATTTTAATTTCGAAAATTGCAACAATCACAATGCAACGGCTCTAACAATAACATATACACACACACAGGCACGCATACAGACACACACATATGCATATGCATAACAGCTACTGCATATGTATGGGGCACTAAGATAGCGAGCGGGAGAGTGCGAGGAGAAGGTTGTTACAAAGGGTGAGCCAGAGCGCTGAATGTATATTTGTCTACATGACAAGTAGGCAATATTTGCATACTCAATTGCATTGTAAATTTTTCTATGCAGCAGCACTCACACATACACACATAACAGCTACACGCACACGCTCATACGGCGCGGCGCAGGAGAGAAAAAAGTCGCGCCTAAGTGTATGCAATGCAAAAAGAATCAGAAACAGAGAAACAGCAACACGAGACAACGAGAATTGTGAGCAGAAAAAATGCTGAACAAAGCAATCAGAGCAGGTGTATCTGTATCTGTGTATCTCTGCATCTGTGCATTTGTATCTATGTGTGCGTAAATGTGTGTGTGTGTGTGTGTGTTGAGCTGTTGATGATGACTCTGACGACAAAGATCCTGACGACAACGACAACGACAACGACGACGACGACGACGTATGTACAGTTTTCATTTGAATGACAAAAAGTCAGGTGGGCCACCCACTCGAGCTCCGCTTTCCTGCTACGAGTGAGTGTGTGGGCGTGTGGGCGTGTGGGCGTGGCTATGTATATA